TTTCTTTCTTTCTTTCTTTCTTTCTTTCTTTCTTTCTTTCTTTCTTTCTTTCTTTCTTTCTTTCTTTCTTTTCTTTCTCCCTCCCTTCCTTCCTTCCTTCCTTCCTTAAATTTATTGTAGAGATGAGGTCTCACCAAGCTGCCCAGGCTGGTCTCAAAACCGTAGATTCAGGCAATCCTCTCACCTTGGCCTTCCAAAGTGCTGGGATTATAGGCATGAGCCACCACGCCCGGCCGGCATAGTATTTTCATATAACCTACATACACCTTCCTATATACTTTAAATCATCTCTACTAATTAAAATACTGAATACAGTGCATATGCTATGTAAGTAGATGTTATACTCTATTGCTTTTTATTTGTATTCTTACTCTTTTTTTAAGTTTTGAGTTAGAGTCTCACTCCATCACCTAGGCTGGAGTGCAGTGGCACACTCATGGCCATCGCAGCCTCGACCTGCTGGGCTCAGGCCATCCTTCTGCTTCAGCCTTCCAAGTAGCTGGAACTACAGGTGCATGCCAACATGCCCAGCTAATTTTTTGATTTATTGAAGAGACAAAGTCTCGCCAAATTGCCAGGCTGGTCTCAAACCCTTGAGCTTAGGCAATCCTCTCGCCTCAGTCTCCCAAAATGCCGGGATTACAGGTGTGGGCCACCATGCCTGGCTGTATTTTTACTCTTAATTTTTTTCCCAAATATTTTTGATCTATGGTTGGTTGAACCTACAGAGTGGAACCCACTGATACAGAGGGCAGATAGAACCCATTAAGCAGTTATTCCCCATTCCCTCCTCTCCCAGCCCCCTAGCTACCACCTACACTATTATTCTAGAAAATATTTTTCTAGCCGGGCTCGGTGCCTCAGCCTGTAATCCTGCACCTTGAGAGGCTGAGGTGAGTGGATTGCCTGAGCCCGCAGGTTCGAGATCCGCCTGGGCAGCGAGACCTCATCTCTACAATAAATCAAAAAATCAGCTGGGTGTGGTAGCGTATGCCTGTAATTCCGGCTACTTGGAAGGCTGAGGCGGAAGGATCACCGGAGCCCAGCAGGTCGAGGCTGTGGTGGCCGGGAGCGGCCACTGCACTCCAGTCTGGGCGACAGAGTGAGACTCCAACTCAAAAAAAAAAAATTTTTTTTCATGCCGGGCATGGTGGAACACATCTGTAATCCCAGCACTTTGGGAGGCCGAGGTGAGAGGATTGCCTGAGTCCAGGGGCTTGAGACCAGCCTGGGCAACTTGGTGAGACCTCATCTCTACAAAAATAATCCAAAAATTAGCTGGGCGTGGTCACCTGTAGTTCTGGCTACGTGGAAGGCTGAGTTGGAAGGATCACCGGAGCCCAGCAGGTTGAGGCTGTGGTGGCCGGGAGCGTGCCGCTGCACTCCAGCCTGGGCGACAGAGTAAGACTGCTACTAAAAAAAAAAATGTATATATTTTTCTGAGTTCAGTGTTATATGCACGAAATTGAGAGCCTGGTGGCTAGTTCACCCACCTCAAGCTCATCCAGTGAACAACGGTACATACCCATCACTCTGGGAACGCAGTCTGTGAGGACAGATATAAAGCTGGTTTATGTGTACACTCCCTCCTATAATGGCCTCGTGGGTGGGCAGACACAGTGGAAAATAACGTGGGTGCATGGACAACCACAAGACCCAGCCCACCTGAGCACTCAAGGAAGGCTTTGCAGGGGCTGGGGCTGGGGCTGGGAGGAGCTTGCCAGGGAGGGAATCCTGGAGGGGAAGCATCTTTTGAGGCTATGGAAACATCAAGGGGCCGGGCTCCATGGCTCAGCCTGTAATCCCAGCACTTTGGGAGGCCAAGGCGAGTGGATTGC